AGCCATACCTGTTCCCTGTGCTATCGTTGCACCAATTCCACAGCGCGTCCACGCTCTCGAGCGCACGCGTACCAAAACCGCGCGATACTTTCACATCGCCAAACCCAGCGGCGCTCAGATCGCGCTGCATCTCCGGCAGGGTCGACGGCCATATAAAGTTATCTGTAGGCTCGCCCAGCTCCGCCAAGACGTCATCGCGGACGTCCTGTATAGGCAGATGGAACGCGCCGTCCTGAGTCGCGAGACCAATAGCAGTGCCGGGCTTGGCCAAAGTGGCAGCTTGAGCGAGGAAGAGAGGTTTGTCGGTAAACCAGTGGTATGACATGTTGCAGTGTATGGCATCAAACTTCTGTCCTGCGAACATGGAAAGATCGTGCACGTCGGCGACGTGGAGCTCTACGTAGGGCTTGAGCTCCGGATGTTCCTCCAAGGCCTCGCGTGCCCGCTTGATACTGTATTTGTCTAGATCAAACCCTACGACTTTCCCAGTCGGGCCTACAATTTGCGCAATGTCGAGAACGTCGCTTCCGGGACCACAGGCAGCCACGAGGACGTGTTGGCCTTTGGAGATGTTCATCATTTCTGTTAGGGCATGGCCGTAGCCGCGCTGCATCGTATTCGTGCGGCTGTAGCGATCTGCTGTTGTTTCGGTGGCTGTGCCCCATTTCGTGGGTTCTTCGGCTTGGGTAGCGAGGACGGACATGATGAATGAGATTGTAGACAGTTCTAAGCAGATGGAAATGGTGATGATTTGGGATTGAAGTTGCAACGGCAAGTCCGGAAGCGTCGAGTACTGTGAAGTTATATGCGTAGGGTATGCTGCGATAAGCACTTACGGGAGAGCAATTGGCTGGCACTTCGTACGAGCCGGCAGATCCTATCGACCTCTACTGCGTGGTGTATACCGAGCGGGGGAGGCCCGAGGATATGCCGTCTCTTGGATCTTCAGTCTGACAGCAACGTCATCCAGATACAGCAGCTTCTAATGCTCCCTTGTAAAAGACCACAATGGGGCCCGTACAGCTATACACGCCAAGCTTGCGGGTAGGGGGAGGGCTATATACAAGAAGCGGCCTCGGCGTCTCTTTCGCCACCACGCTCGCAATACATACGTGTTTTAGACCTATCGATTGCCACACTTTCAGGAGGACTGCGACGACTGAGGCATCGAGTTCGGCATTTTAGATTGGGCAGCTGTAGACGTACCGGACAAAAGGTTCCGCAGGGTCTCCCAGCCCGACTGCGTTGACATGTGCTTTTTACGGATAGAGTTTGCACTAGTGTGGGTAATCTATATGTCTTATCCAACCTTCTTCTCGATGTTCGAAACGCGCTGGAATGCAGAGCCTATACTAGTTCGCCGCCTTGAGTTTATTACCACATCAGCGTCAGTTCCCGTTGAGGCATTTCTCAGTCATTTTTATTGAGTGATGGGAACAAGGCCGCGGATGCATGGTGCTATTGCCGCCCATAAGCACAAAACCAACTGTCTTGAGAAAAGGTCCTAGCCCGCTAAGACATTTACGTTCACTCTGAGGAATAGACTCCAGACCAAGGCGCCAGTATAGTGTCTCGATGGATATCTCTAAGCTATGAAACCCCAAAACGCCGAGATCATATTCGCCACCGAAGCTGAGATCAATCGCTACCTTCGTCGAGATATTGATAACGGCCTGTCAATCAATGACACCGTCGCCCGGGAAATAAGGTTGTGTACTACCTTCAAAATACATTTCACCACTCCGACATTATTACCTTCTTACTACAATTGAGGGCGGATCTGGTCGCTGAGCCTAACAAAGACGCGTGACTTCGTCAGCTAATACATCGGATCCATGATCGTTACTGTACAAAGCCCATAAGACGTCGAAAAGAAGAGAACTAAATTTCATTGGTACCTTTCTTCGATGTTGCGGATCCGAACGTGACATGTAAGAATAAGATTTACGCATACTGTCCTTTGTATCTTGACTCCATCGGCATCGATAAGACACCGGGGGCCAGGCGCATGCCCGTCTATGTGCTGCAAAAGTCGCTTTCATGATACTACCTAGGCATTCACTCACACCAAGAAACATAATGCTAAGGTTACCAACATAACGCACGCACAAGGCTCTATGTCGATTGTTCACATCGTATCAAACACCAGAAACGCTGTTTGCAAACACACCACCCACCTTTAAGTCTAAATACAGATCATCCCATCGTGCTTAAGACTTACACCACTTACCTCCATCGCGCAAACAATCCCAAAACAACAACCAGCATGTCAGTAACCTCCTTCATCAAATACCTAGTAAACTCCGTTTCCTACAACTGGAACTGCCACCAATGCGGTAGTAATAACGTGGCAAAAGAGCACCCAGCACAATGCGCATCGTGCTCGCATTTCCATTGCTGGAAGTGTGAAAACATCATTAACTAAGCTGCGTACGATGTCCAGCTAATTCACTTCATTTGCTGTCACGAAGATATATTTCATGACCAGTCTTTCAACATGCTAGCTGCGAATACAATTAGGATTTTATTTGCGCTCAAAGAACCTTGTCTTGAAGACATGTGAATGCCAATGCTTGCACATGAATCGCAGAGCGACAACCCTTTGCATTAGTCTCGCACAATGCGCGCACACTTTATGAAGCAATACTAGGTATAAAGCGGTGTACCCAATCGAAGTGATACAATGTTCTTGACATCTTTTAGTCTGACGTACCTGATTCTATAAAAGAGAAGTTCTCACTACCCTCAAAGCCTTCTCTCTCTATACTGCCATACATGATATACCGTTATCACTTAACAACTGCACGATTGTCTGGTACTTTAGTTTGCTTCTCAAGCCATCATCTCTTTCTCATTTACTCGCGAAGAAACGGCTTGCGCATCTGCTTCGACAATACTACCCTCCACTATGCTCATTTGCAATAACTCATTTATCGGGCTACTTGCCGGTCTATCCTGTATCTCGGCAGCTCCTCTAGAAACCTTGGCGAGTGGAAGCACTTCGATAGCTGCACATAACACTAGAAATGTAAGTTCGTCATCCTAGTCCATACGACTGCGAATGAATAACCTTTACTAATACCGAGGTTTACTAGGCACATCCTGAATTCTCCCTCCAGCTTCTGTACAGCGTCTGGGATGAGGATAAATACCTCTACGTCGCCCAACGAGGGAAGCAAGGAATAGCATATGGACCGTGTGGGGGCGACGTAAAGAACAATTCTTTTGAGCTAATCCATTATACAGAATTAGGCAAAGACTCTCGTCCCAACGCCATCGATAATCCTCCGTTTCCCAGCAAAGAAGTAAGTGAACCGTCCTTCTTTTCCTCTTTAACATATGCTAACCTCGGATGTTCTTGACAGGTTTCATTCCCTATCAAAGTACCCGGCAAAAAGGACTGCCGTTACGAAGGCAATGGCGTTGATGCTGGCCAGATTCGGTGCGGAGATGAGGCTGTCGGGAAGTGTGGAGAAGACCCACAGTACGATGAGCCTACGATCACGTGTTTATGGGGGACAAAGTACCATCGCGGATATGTCTGCGAGTTCTGAGTACCCGTATACTTGAGTTTGGGCGTTCCGGAATGGATAGTTGGGAGGCAAGAGAGACGTATAGTGGATTGCAGTCATGTGACGGATCCACTGGAGAGGCGTCGCTTATTGTGTTCGTATGATGGCGGATGTTAATGTAGACAGCACACGAGTCTTAGCGTTATTGGAAGATTGTGCGCATCGATAGTGATTGCTGCTCTGGTGATTGCTCCTTGTAATGATTAGCCATTGTTTCGTCGTCATGTACCCCTAGAAACGTGGTGCCGATGATGTGAAGGGTTAAATGCCGGTGGCTACACGTTGCCAAGCTCGAGACTGGGATACGAACGAAAGGATACTGTGGCCCTGTAAGGGATGTGACGAATAGCAAACGAAAACGAATTGACCGGGCTGCAAAGAGTATCATATTTGCAGTGAAAACATGTTTGCGATAGTCAGGTCCCGCCGGAAAGAGTGAAGTAGTCCGGGCAGCTGTGATACCATTACTTCTTATATGTCGTGCAATCTTGGCGTCACTTCGGAGTTGTCATATTGTAGAACATGGTAAAGCAGCGATACTTTGAATGCTTGCTGTGATGCCTACGCAATCTGGTAAACAGGTCCTCTTACAGCGTGCTGCTACTTATAAGAAGGCGGGTAGTAACATGTCCACGACTGACCATCACCCAACACAGCAAGCTTGCGGAAGCCGAGATGATGTTCTACCCTTTTCTCCTCCTCTGTGCCAGTCGCTCCTTCGCTCTGCCGGCCAGCACCACCGAAGTGTCGCATCCGATAGACGACACAAGCCAATACATGATCCTGGACGAGCTTGAAATACCATTGCGATCACCATTCATGCCAGGTCTCGTTGCTAGTAGCGGGGAACGGATTCGGAAAAGAGATATCGGTAACAACACAAGGGTCAAAACCGAAGCGCCTTCCAATCCAAGCGGTTCAGACAACGCCTCGCAAGTCCAGCGACCAGCGACCAAAGACCAGCTCACAGCTCTCGCCGAAATCATTCTGTTCCCAAGGACTTGCGAAATTGAACAGCAGTACGAAGTTCTCGCAATGGCTGAAATGTTCGTAAATGTCGGTGTCGTCAAAGCTGATTTGGAAGGAAGCATACGCCGAAGCTCGTCTTTGTGGGGCGAAGATGTTCCGGGCAAAGAATATATAACCACATGGATGTATGTGGATATACTTGACGATGGGCCATTGATGACGTCCGATCTGATAGAGAACATGTTCTATCTGATGATATATGATGAATCTTGCTATGCTACACCAGGCCAGACCAGAGGCGGCAGACTGCGGGCGGTGCATGCGCGTACGGGTAGGGAGCTTGCCAATGTGGTCATAAATGCGGTGGACTCTAGAGACGCGTAGTATTAGGCGATGGATCGCGTGGATTGGGAAAGCAATGTATTTGGATAATCCTTTGAGTGCCCGGGCCCTTCAATCCTATTTGACCTTCAAGTCTTTCATATGCGTATCCGGATCCGCGTCCACAACATACTCGTCCAATTGAACCAAGCCCAGCAGAGCCTCGTCGTCGACAACGTCTGTCATTGCTGGCCTCTTTTCTGTTTGTTGGCTACGAGCTGCCTTCAGCTTCACGATTGTCTCTTCGTTGTATTTCTTGAAAGCCTTGGGGTTCTTCTTCTCCCTATGCGGATCATGCGACTCGCTCTTGAACTGGTATCCTCTAACTCGCGGTCCTTGACCAGACTTTTCGGGAAGCGTAGGCTCGTAATAGGCCTCGAAAGCGGCCATGTCGGCGTCGAAGGTACCCGCTTCGATGGAGGCGCGAATGCCGGCGAAGAAGGCCGAGAGAATGGCGTGGTTGTGTAGCTGAATGAGTACCCAGCCCAGCATTTCCTTGGCAGCAAGCAGGTGCTGGAGGAAGGCGCGATGATGCTTTGTGCACGCGTAGCATGTGCAGCCTTCGGATAGCGGGGTAACGGACAAAGCATGCTCACCGCTCCACATGTCGATGCCCAGAGAGCGGCGCACGCTTGTATTGCCGTCTCCGACAGGCGCTGGGAAGGTGAAGTCGAGGACGATACCCGCGTCGGTCGCGTCGGCGAGGAAGGGCACGGTGAAGACGTCCACGCCCATGCGCACATGGCGGAGAAGCTCCTGTGGGCTGGCAGGGAGGTGGAAGGATAGTCGTGGGAGGTGATGGAGCTGGCCGGGTAGTTCATCGAGTAGATAGGCGTCGTAGATGGCGAGGCCGCTGATCTTGTCCACCATATCGTCTAGCAGGTGATCCAGATACCATGACTGTAGGTCGCGCTCGATGGGCAGGATGGGCGCAAAGATGCTCCATGCTTTCTCGCCCTCGTCGATGGTGCCCTGCTTGGCTACCATGTCACGCAGCCACACCTCGGTCCTGTCGCTCATCCGGTCTTTCCGCTTGAGACTGATGGCCTCCTGCCCGACTGGTATGTCACCCAATCCCACGACGATGTCTGGTTGCAGCTTGCGTGCGGCGGCGGCATAGTACTCGGAGCTAAGAGTCGTGAAGCCGACCGACGTCAGGAGGCGTATCTCGGTGTCTGTATTTCCGTGAGGGCTGGCTATGGGCGGATTGCGACGTGCACCCAGGACGAGGAGTGTGTCTTCGGAGAGGGCGATGAACTTGCGCAACGGCTCAGGCACGTCATACTTGAAGACTGGCGGAGTCTTGTGCGGGCGCTTCTCAACGACTGCATGCTGTTAACGGTGCTTGGTGGCACATATGAGGGAGGGTACGCACAGTCCTCGAGCGCGACGTAAACTCCGCCAACATCGGCGCTCCGTCGGAAGTTGTCCTGCGATACATGGGGGATGACGCCTCTGGATGTGTTGCCAATAAAGGCGGGTGTAAGGATACTCTTGCGTCCCGGGAACGACAGGCGGCCAAGTCGCGGCGCAAGCGAGCCTGACGTCTTGAGGAGCGTGAAATCCAGCATTTCAGCCGGCAGTTGACCAAGTTTCCTCGTCGAGACCCCGTCAGACATGGTAACACTGAAGATCTGACTGTTCAATGTCTAAAGCTTTCTCTCGGTCCATACATCAAGAGAAGCTGTCGTATACAACTCCGAATGTCGTTGCCTATGGTGGGGCGTCCATGTTCCTGCCGACTCATCGTCGAAAATGTGGATGCGTGCACGTGCAAGCGTGTCAAACCGCGTCAGGCGTCCGACTACCTCTGAATTCTACATCTGTCCTCAATGTTCCCATGAAATGATGGCGGAACCCTTTCATTATCGCATCAGACGTGGTCATGGAGCGCTGAAGCCGCCTCCCACAGCGATTGCCCATGTCTTTACCAATGACCAAGCACGACCACGATGAGCCACCTCGCCAGGCTCTACGCGGTTCTACCACGAGAAAACGATATCAGGACCCATTAGTCGTGTTCGTTGTAGTTCTCATCGCTTTCCTGGGCTTCTACCGCATCTACAGCCCTTCCGCTACCACAAGCTCACTATCACCTCACGACAATGACGTCGATATTCAGGTCGTCGAGACTTACAATGAAGACCAACTTCAGGAAGTTGCTGCCTTGATGGACGAAATCTATACCATGCTAGCAAATGCCTCGTTCATTCCGCATGACTCTATCAAGCGTGGCCCACACCAAATCAATTCTACAGCCAGTCCCTGCAGGCGCGATGCAGCCGACCTGCGCTTAATGGAGATCCTCCCATATGTAGACGCCGCACTGCTCGACAATGACCATTGGTTATGGGGTGGCACTTTTTCCGATTTCCGGGTAGATAAATTCTTGGGCTACGGCTGTAATCCTGACGAAGCAGACAAAGACCCTTCGTTCCTCATGCGGCCAGGAACGGTCCACTTGACCAATAGCGGCTAGGATAGCTAGGATCTCTACAGAAGTTAGCAACTCTAATATAACACTAGGAAGAATGCAATTAGAGTCTATAAAGAAGAGGAGAGGAGTAATTACTAGCTACAAGTTAATAGGTGCTTAGTCTAATTCTAAGATCTATACAAGAGCGAATAGTATAGATCTATATTAGTTAGGCATTCTCTTACGTAATTTACTTACTAGCGTACTTACTAGCGCTTCTTTCTCTTTATATAAATAAAGGCACACTTCTTTATATATAGAATAATTAATATATTTTATACTTCTCTTTATTTTATAGGTTATAAGCCTCTACGTAACTACGCGCAATCTAGCTTACTAAATTACTATACTTACGCTTTATATTACATAACTAACTATAGTTATAGTTACTTAACTATACTACATCTTGTCTAAGAAATACCTACTCTATACTCTATACTTTTACTTACTTTTAATATACTATATTATTATAAGTACGCTTATTAACACTACTACTATCTTAAGTAAAAACTTTACTAAACTATCTAGCTCTAAGAACTACTTAGAGTAAGCTAAAGCGTTTAGTCTTATTATAAGTTTTAATAGATATATATATCTCTATAAGAATAACTTAGCTATAGTTACTAAACCTACTATACTAGATTTTACCTCTTTTTATTACACTTATTAGACTACTAACTTTAAAATTACTACTTAAGGCAACTTATTTAGGCTAGACCTATAGTCTTAACTAATATACTATAATCTCTACCTTTAGAAGTATAAAGAGTATAAGAAGTTATATTACTTTATATTTATACTTCTCTAGACTACTATAGAACTCTAGATATAAAAGAAAATTAGTAATCTAGAGTTACTTTTATTAGTAATAGCCTCTATTATTAATAATAATAAACCTAATAATAAGATATAGTTTAAGCGCTCTCTTATTAAGTTAGACTATATTAAGCTTAATAATATTATAGCTATATACTCTTTTCTTACTAAGTTTAAGAATATCTATAATAATATCTAGAATGCTAATAGTACTCTTACGCACTTACAGCTTATTACTAAGATTCTTACTACTTTACTCTATCTTTATAACTTATTTATCTAATACTAGCGTCTTACGCACTTTAGTAAGAAGGTAAGCGCTAATAACTTTAAGAAATTTTAGTTACTTCTACTTAACTATACTAATAATAATAGCGCTTATTAGTAAGCTAATAAAAATAATAAGTCTAAGAATTATTCTAAAAATTATTCTAAGAACACTGCTTCTAAAGACAAGACTAAGACTAGCTAGTCTAGTAAGACTAGTAAATAAGATTTACTTTATATTAACTATAATTACTATAGTTATAGTAAATATACTATTAATATCTATTATTACGTAGGTAAGCTAGATACTTCTAAGTATATATTTTATAAAAAGCTTAGATATACTAAGAATAAGTACAACGCTAAGAAACGCGCTACTAAAGTTAAGGCTAAATCTACTATAGCTCTTACTCTCTGCGCCTCTACTAACTCTAGTAGTAACTAAGACTATATTATTATAGTAGTTACTAACTTTAACGCTAACTTTAACTCTACTATAGACCTAAACTATATATACTCTTACTCTACTTACTTAGTACTTACTAACGCTATCTAAAAGTATAAAAGTATTTACTTAGAAGTATAGAGAGCTCTCTTAAGTAGCCTGTATAAGAATAGTTTAGATAGTATTTATAGTTCTAATATATTATTAGTTGCACTTGTAACTATACACTTAACTTTAACTACTTACTACTAGATCTATAATAGTAGAGCTTTCTAATATATTACTAATAACTACTCTCTATTTACTAAACTTACGCTCTGTATAGAAACTATAAGCGCGTATAAATAAAGTACGTAACTTAATATTACTAGAATAGAGACTATTAAAATAATAGTTATAAACTTCTAAAGTAAGATTATTATACTCTAGCTTTATAACATGCGCTACGCGCTCTAAGTATAGTATAACCTTCTTTCTATTTTCTTCTTAGCTAATTTAGAACCTAGTTTTATTATAATTACTACTAAAGATTATATAAAGGTGTATAGAAAAGATACTAAGGCTAAAGTTATCTATGCGCCTTATAATTTTTATATTAATATCTATATTCTTCTTATTAAGTAACTACCTTCTTAGCCTATTATTGCTACTATAGTTAATTTTAATAATCTAGTTTAGGCTAAGTACTACTATCTTAGCTATCTTAGTTTAGAAAGTATATAATAACTTACCTAGATAAGTATAGAGATAACTATTACTAATACTTAAATTAAAGCTAAGCTTAAAGATAACTATTCTATATACTATACTACTTAAGCTTTGTATAAAATTCTACGCAACCTAGCTAACTAATACTATTAATAGTTTAGTAAGCTAGTTACTATAGATACCTAAAGACCTTACTTAGTCTTTAGTTTAAATAGTAAAAAGTATACTCTTTTTTTTATTAATAATACTACACGCTTTATATAGGTAGAGCTATTTAGCTTAAAAAACACTATTAACGCTAAACTTATCTTACTTCTTATATATCTTATTATAGAGTATAGTAAACCTATTTATTAGCTACGCTATAATAATAAGTTTATTACTAATATAATTAAGGCATACTACGCTAACTATAGTATTACTATAGAACTCTACGTTCTATACACTTACTATATAGTAGATATAGTTAAACGCTTATATTATATTATATAAGAGTAAGCAGCTACTATAATTTAGAACTTTACTTCTACTTCTATTATAACTATAGCTATTATTAACTACACTAAAGAAATACTATAGAATACTACACTTCTAGAGAGTTTATAGATATATACACTACTTAAAGTAGTTTATAAGAAGAATAATTTTCTATCTAAAGCTCTTAAGTATATTAAGACTTTATATAAAACACTATATTAGAGATAACTTAACCTATCTAAAGCTAGTGTATAGAGAGCTTATATATACGTTACTATATTACTAGAGCTATATAACGTAGTTGCTTTAAGAAAGCTTTATACTTCTTATACTTATATTACGCACTTTCTCTATACGTTAAGTAATAATATCTACTATATCTAGAACTCTAATGCTAGATAAGTTAAATAGATCTCTATTACCTATATTAATAATACTACTAGTATAGCAGACCTACAGCCTTATAGCTAATATATTAACTAGCGTTTACTATAAGATTCTATTTCTATACCTACTATTATAGACAACTTTAACTCTAATTCTAACTATAATAATCTTTATACGCTAATTACTCTAACTACTATAGAAGACGCTCTTAACTAGAATAATACTCTTCTCTCTATTCTAACTATATAGAAAGTACCTCTAGACTAGGCCTATAGACTTTACGTATATTACTAATATCTATATTATAAGTATCTAGAAGACTCTAATCTTCTCTATAGTTATTATATAACTAGAATAAAAGTTAACTATTATATATAGACTTAGGTAGACTAAGACGTTATTCTTATAGCTTAAAATAATAAAGTATAGTAGAAATAAGCTTTTAAGTTATAGTCTACTACTTTTTTCTACTTTACTTAGTTATTACTAGAGACACTACTAGATATTTTAATAAATAAAGTAGACGCACCTAAAGACGTACTAGTAGTATATACGCTATTACTATATAAGCCTACTACGCGCTATAATAGTAACTATAATAAGGCACTACTAGATATTTTAATAGATAGAGTAGGCGTATCTAGAGATATACTAGTAGCACGCACGCTATTGCTATATAAGTATACTATACACTATAATAGTAACTATAATACTATTATTTCTAACTTCTAACTAGACTTAGAGAATAATAAGAGATATAGTTAGTATTATAGTATAATACGTAATACTAGAGTACATCTCTGCGCCTTATATTTATAGTATAGAAAATAGTGTAAGTTTACACTTTTTTCTATAACCTCTAAATATAACTATTGTATTAAGTACTAAACTATATATATTCTAGCTACCTTATAATAAATTATATAGGCTAGTAACTACTATATACCTTACTAGAAAAAGAAGTATTATACTTAAGAAGTACTAGGCTCTATTTATAACTCTTATATTACTACTAATAACTACCTTAACTATAAACTAGTGTA